TTCTGGGCTGGCACACGGTCAGTGCAATGCGCATTATGCGAGTCTCATCTATTCTAATCTAGGGCACTCACAGGCAGCTTTTCACTTCTTGTCGTGCAAAATGCGAAAAGGCATTTGAACCAATAAGAGGGGGATCTTGTAACACTAGTCAAAGGATGACAAAAAAGAAGAGATGCTGCGCTAATAGCCCTACTTTGTTTATTTCATATAAAATCCGCGGCATTTTGCGTTATATAATTGCATAGGTTTGAGATCGCTATTACGACTGCGATATAATTAATCGTGCAGCACTAATGCTTAGTGTATTCTAAAGGGCAATAAACTCCACTCCAGCAAGATAGTCATTTTATGCAAATCATAGACCTTTATGCCTTATCTACAAATAAAGTATAATATTGGGAACATTGATCTTGAAGAGAGTGTCGTCGTGTTACTGTCGCAACCGAACGCGACGCGCTAATGCTGATGCATGGAGAATGACTGAGGCGAGATGACTTTCCGTTAACTTTAACTTAGAGACTAAAATATTAATTTTACCACACATTAAGCTATTGAATGACTTTAGAAGTCTTGGAATATAGTGTGAAAACTTGATTGTGCTTTACAGTTTTTTATGCCTTTAGTGGGGCTTAACAAAATAACACAATATGCAGAATGTCGGACGTCACTTATAGGCTAAACTGTTTTTATAGATAAAACTATTTACATTCGGCAGTCATGAAAACAAATCTCAGATAACGGTTGACTAGGTAACAATGTGTAATTTTGCGCCGGAGTTCTCCTTTAACTTACATTAGCTAGCTAACTACGAACGAGCTAACCAGATAACATTAACAAATTGACAAGCACTTACTGGGCAGAATATGGCTCTTCAAATGACGGACGAAATTGGAGGTTGTCATCTGACTGTCCGCGATCTTAACGTTGCATGTCTTGCAAAGCGCTGTTCTTTTGCCATCTTGTTGTAAGAAATTCTTGAATCCAAAAGCGACGACGACCCTCGTTATCCTCCGGCTGACATGTTGATGTGATCTGATGTAAGTGGGCGTGGTGTGCGCGTAAGGTATGAGAAGGCATGACTGATGATCTCTGATCCAGTCATGACAGCGCTATTCTCAGCCTGCGCTCCAGCTGGATCAACTTTATTTTTTTTACATAATTTATATATTTTTTTATATTCAAACTGAAAACATGATGTGATTAACACTCAAGTCATATTATTACATGCAAGTGTGTTTGATTTATGGACCAAATTTTCAGATCAAGTTTATGGACCAAGTTAATTTAATTAATAAACTAATTATATAAAACTATTAATGCACTACAATTAAACTGGTTATATGCCTTTACTTATAAAAAAATAAAAAACTTATTTAAAAAAATACCAGGCTTAAGGCATTTATTTTTTATGCAGGCCATACACACAGGAGTGAAATGGTTAAGACCCCTCCCCCTACAAACACACACACATACACAGACAGGCAAAGACAGCAGGCTCAGATTGAGCAAGACCACATTCAAACAAACATATCTGACTTTCTGTGGGTCCTAGCTAATGAGTGTCAATTAGAAAGTTGTCCGGCTCGAGGAGTACAATATACATACCGATTTTTGTAACTGTAGATAAAACTAACAACCCCACTTTTGTCAAAAGGTGGCGCTACTGAGCCCTCACCACGCCCGTTTCTGAAACTTTGCACGTGTCTACTGGCTAATAAATGTGATGTGTCTGTCGAGTTTCATGCAATTTCAAGCATGCTAAGGGTCTCAAAAGCATCCTAAAAGAAGGTAACGTTTGATGCGTCGCCACGGCAACAGTTTCAAAGATATCAAGAATCCATTCACAGGTCTACATCTGCCGTATGTTTACATTATACAGATGACGTTTGAAGCAAATCGGGTAAAAATAAAGGGTGATATCAAAGCATTTTGAAAGTGACACACTTCCTGCTGCCAGTTGGTGGCGCTATAACTTTGACTCACAATAGTCACATCCATGTGATCGTCCTCTTACAGCGAACACACTGCTGAAGTTTCATCAAGATCAGTTAATGTATGCTGAAGTTATAACACACTTCCTGGTTCACGTTTCTCGCCATGATTTCGTTTCCTCGCCACGGCCAAACCGTTCGAGATATCAAAAATCCCCTCGCAAACTTTCATCCTCAATGTCTTGACTTCACGCTGACCGAGTTTCGTTGAATTAGGATCAAAGCTCTAGGAGGAGTATTTAACATTCCATTGCGAGCGTTTTACAAACAAACCTCAATAGCCGACTTCCTGTTGGGCTGGGGTAAAAAGTAAAAGCGCGAGGTATAGATGAAACGATGAGATCAACATGTGCACCGAGTTTCATATTATTACATACAAACGTGTTTGAGTTATGGACCAAGTGTTCGGACCCCGTTCCAGGGGGCGCTGACGAGCCGCCCTGCCACGCCCGGGTACCAAGCTTCAGCCCGGCTCTGATGGCCGCGGGTTCTGACCCGTGTGCAAAGTTTCAAGAGTTTTCGAGCACGTTAAGGGCCCCAAAAATGCCCAAAAGGTTACAAAAATAATAATAAATATAGCTGCGAGCAGCGATGGCGGGCCCAAGCCGGAGGCACCGCAACCCCGGTTCCTTTAGTTACCTAAAGGCACCCGGGTGGCGGTGCCGAAGGCTTTGGCCCTTTCATGATTAAATGTTAAAACGGCTTGCCATACTCTGTCATTTCGACTAGTCACAATTATGTTACAGATATCTTAAATGATATAATACAAACTATCCAAAGTGTAACGACTAGACAGAAAGACGTTGTTGATATCTACAATGTTAATTCCGGATAGGCAAACTTAGCTTTTAAATGTTAAAAGGGCTTGCCATACAGGGACGTAGGCTCAGAGAGAGGCTCACCATATTCAGACCAAAATATCTGACTTCCTCTTGGTCCGAGCTAATGACTATGTATTAGAAAGTTGTACGGCTTGAGGAGTACAATGTATATACCGATTTTTGTAACTGTAGATAAAACTAACAACCCCACTTTTAAGTATATATATGGTGCCTTTAGTGTTATTCTGCACGACGTGCAAAAACTTAACCCCGCTTTTTTAAGTATATATATATATATATATATATATATATATATAAAGAGGGTTATTCTGCACGACGTGCAAAAACTTAACCTCCGCATTGACTGTCGAAGAGAAGTGTGCAGAAGAGCTTGCATCAGTGAGGGCTTTGCAAAATATATATACATACAAACACACACACACACACATATAAATGAGGTTAGTGTTTTACAATATTAAGGAAAGCAAATGTATTGAAATATAGCACATTAATTTTAAATTCATTCAGCTTCAATTACCAATTTGTAGTTTACCAATTTATCTTACTTTTATTTAAAGCAAACTATACATTTAAAAGATTAGGGTTATATGCATATTTTGTCATTTAAAAAAATACAAAATTGTTATGCAAAAAGATAAGGACTTGCAGAAAAAATCTACAGTCAGCCACACACACACACACACACACATAAACGCAGACACCAGCAACCCCCCCCCCCCCTCCCTCTTCCCACACAGACACTGATAGAGACAAGATACACATCCAAACTGCAATATCTGACTTTCTTTTGGTCTGAGCTTCTTACTGTTAATTAGAAAGTTGATCGGCTTGACAAGAACAATATACGTGGCATGTTTTGTAACTGTAGGTAAAACGAGCAAAGTTAACACATTTTATGTGTCCTTTTTTAGTCATAAAATTATTTTCCTCGCCACGGCCAAACCGTTCGAGATATCAAAAATCCGTCCGGAATTGAGCATCCTCAATGTCTTGACTTCATGCACACCGAGTATGGTGGTGATTGGTAAACACATGCGTTGTAATTTGATGTATTTCTCCTAGGAGATTTATTCAAACAACACATAATTCCCAACTTCCATTTGAACTGTCTTAAAACTTAGAGCAGAGATGGGCGCAGGTCACGCAAGTCTCAAGTAAGTCTCAAGTCTTAACCGTCAAGTCTCAAGTATTTTTTTTGGGGGGGGGGGCAAGTCAAGTCAAGTCACAGGCTATGTCAAGTCAAGTCAAGTCTTGTAGTAGGTTAAGTCAAGTGCAAGTCAAGTCACCTTATTATTTTAATTTTACATGCAGAATCTGATCTTAATAAAATGAAAAGACAAGATAAGTATTTGCCAGTAAATTACAATAATTTGCATTGTAAATACTCATGTTCAGTAAAATACACCATGGAATCAAACAAAATTGTAACTTCATAAAATTATTTATTTTTCACTTCTGCCAACAGTGTGTTTGAAATGTTTTAAATTTTCAACATTGAGTCCATAAAACAAATAACAGCTTAACATCCTACAGACTCTCTGAACACCTTCCTCTCTCTCAAACACAGTTTACAAACAATATTAAACTTTGTTACATTTCTCCTCTCCTCTCTCTCTCTCTCTCTCTCTCTCTCTCTCTCTCTCTCTCTCTCTCTCTCTCTCTC